CTGCTGTTTTCTAAGTATTTATCCGTCAATTTTCTAGTTCACTTCCTCTATTTTGTATCGATTTTGTATCCGTTTTGTAACGTTGGATAGATGGGTGGATTGATGTGGCTGTACCCTTTAGATCGGGCGGCGGCTAACGCCACCTCACCGTATAAACGATTGCGCGCGCCCCCCACACGACTCCTCCTCGGAGGCTTCAGTGCGCTCCGTAGGCGTCGCTTCCGCTCATCAAACTTTGCTATTCCAGCCACTGTAATGTCGCGCATAAATAAATATAGCTTCAGTTTGTCCCTGCAGTTTCAAGATTTTGTTTTAGGAGTTGAGGCCTATTATTGCAAGCGTCATTGCTCTAGATATAAGTCGCCCCTTGCCAGTATATATATATATATATATATATATATATATATATATATATATATATATATATATATATATATATATATATATATATATATATATATATATATATATATATATATATAATACCTTGTACCGGATAACATGCAAAATATTCAAATTATGTTTCTTTGATATGCTTTCAGAATATCAAAACTGTGAACGTCTACTGTAAAGAGTGCAAAAATAATCGTCAAGCATTCCAGCTGATGAGAAAACGCGAAAGTGCTGAATAAACGATAAACCTCACAATAATCAGAATATGTTAGTTTAAGACATCTTTATTAATAGAACAATGATTCGTCCCGCATTCAGTGCCATATCATTTAGCTACAAGCATTGTGGATTTTTCTGTCAGCCTCAAAGCAAGAAGCTGGTTCTGGAAAAAAAAATGTCATGTGCTCGGCACGCATAAGAAAAATCAATTGGCTTTTCAACTAATTAATGCCTCGTAGTCTACTAAATATGCAGCATGTCATCACTGTGATAAATGAGATTAAAATAAAACGCTGATAAGAAAAACTGAGTGGGTCTCTGTTGTGACAAACACCAGTTAATTTGCTGCGGCTGCGGCCCCGAGGAAGCTGCCACCACTCATATCCCCGTCCCTCCCGACCCCGCCCCGTCGCTCTGCAGCAGCGGCAACTGATCCCTACGGCATACACGCGCTCTCCCATAAAAGGCCGCTCCACGCGACAGGCAGTACCGTGCGCTTTTTCATCCAGTGGCCGTGGTACTACAGTGCATAGAGTTTCCTATTATACACTAAATAGAACTCTGGCGCTAGTGGCCATGAGAGCTGCAACACACCACGCTTCAGCGAGCATGGGAATGAGGCAGTGACTACAGTGGCTAGAAGGAGAAGTGTGATTACCGTCAAGCGGCGTCTATGGGGAGGGCTGACGCCGCTTAGTTTTACATCCGCTAGGTGGCACTTGCTGTCGCATACCCATAATTATACTAGGAGATATAGATGGGTACAAAGAAGATATAGATGAGTATACTGACTCAACAGGCAAAATGATCATGAATATGTGTTAAAGGTATGATTTGATCATTTGCCATAGTACTAGGAAGTGTGAAGGGCAAATAACATGGGAGGTGGGAAGGCAGCAGTGAACAATAAATTACGAACTGATGTCACATAGGATGTATGATAAGTTCAGGGGAATGCACAGAGATAAAGGTGGCTCCAGAAGCCTGAGTAGTGATTACAAACGTATCAAGCTAAGTTTTGGAAGAGCAGCGAAGTTGAGAAGGACACAAGATGAGTGACTACAGGAAAATTTTCATTCAGACAGGCAAATAGAAATATGTACTAAACAAATTGAGAAAATAATCACTGAGAATAATAAAGCAGTGTGGACATACACAAATCTAATTAGACTGTTTGGGCTAGAGCTTGCTAAGGCACGTGACAAGTCACCCCGAAAAGAAGACACAAGCCCCAGAGTTGGTGAGATGAGGAAGTTAAGAGAGCTATAGCAAAACGTCAGGGAGCCTCTAGGGAACACAGACATGCTAAGCAGCGGGGTGAACCGACAGATGATGTTGAAAGGAAATGGGACATCTTTGTAAGGTGTAGAAGAGAAGCATCCCTTCTGATCAATGAAAAGATTACAAGAAAGGGAGCTCAGTGGCTTGCAGAAGTACAAAAAAAGGACAGAAAGGCAGCTGCAGAATTTTGCAACCATCTAAAGTCCCTAAGAAATGAAACAAGCCTACAGCAGAGGTTTATAAATGCAGCTCAAGGTGCTAGGCTAGAAGGGAACGACGCTATTAAAATATAGGAACAAGGGTGACAGAAAATTTTCAACAAAGAAGTGCCTTATGCACCACAATAGACAAGGATGGATCAAGTGGCGCAATGGCTCTGATTTCACGACGAGAGTGCGTAAGGGCTGAGAAGAGGATTCCAAGTAGTACATCAACAGGCCCAGATGGCATTCCAATTATGCTGATAAAGACAATGGGTCCGAAGTGTGAACAGACTTTGGGAGAGGCAGTGAGCAGAACATATAATCAATGGTGAAGTCCCCAATGGATGGAAACTTAGCAGGATGAGATTGATATATAAAGGAAAGGGGGACAAAGTTGACATAATCAACTACCGTCCTATAAGAGTGACATCAGTGGTCTACAAGCTGGCGATGCAGGTTTTAAAGGAAAGACTGCAGGCATGGATAGAGGATGAGGGGTTGCTGGGGGAACTGCTGAATGGGTTTCGGAAACACAGGAGGTTTGAAGACAATCTCTTCTCACTGACGCAGTGCATCCAAATAGCAGAAAAGGAACTCGGGCCCCAATGGCTAGCATTTTTGTATATCAAGGGAGCGTACAATCACGTGGTTCAAGAGGACTTGTGGTCAATACTGGACACACTAGGTGTGGAAGATGGGGTCACTAATCTTTTAAAAAAAACTATAAAAGCAACAAGGAAGTTATAAAGTGGGAAAGCCCACAGAGGTGAAACAGGGGCTTAGGCAAGGGTGTCCTCTGTCACCCCTGTTATTCATGACGTACCTACAAGGTTTAGAGGCAAAATTAGAGGGAAGTGGACTTTGCTTCAACCTCTTTTTCGTCAAACAAAGAAAACTCATTGATCAATCACTACCAGCATAAATGTACGCCGATGATTTAGTGCTAATGGCCGACAACGAGGAAGATTTGCAGAGATTTATGGGCATCTGCGGTAATGAGGGAGATAGGTTAGATTTTAGATTCAGTAAGGAAAAATCAGCATTCATGATTTTTTAATGATGATGAAGTTTCTGAGCTTAGGATACAGAACGTCACGCTAGAGCTAACAGATAAATACAAATATCTTGGCGTATGGATAAGCAATGGGACCGAGTACCTAAGGGAACACGAAATATACGTAATGACTAAAGGTAACAGGAACGCAGCAGTGATGAAAAATGGGGCACTGTAGAATTGCAATACGTAGGACGTTGTGAGAGGAATATGGAAAGGGGTCATGGTTCCTGGGCTGACGCTCGGCAATGCGGTATTGTGCATGAGATCAGAAGTTCAAGTAAGATTAGAAACTAAGCAACGTGGAATAGGTAGGCTTGCTTTAGGAGCTCACGGGAATACACCAAATCAGGGAGTACAAGGTGATATGGGTGGACATCATTTGAGGGCAAGGAAGCTAGCAGTAAAATAAAATTTGAGAAGCGATTGAGAGAAATGGGTGAGAAGCAATGGGCTAGGAAGGTTGTCAGCTACTTGTACATGAACAATGACGATACAAAATGAAGGAAGTGAACCAGGAAATTGACCTTTAAATACTTAGAAAACAGCAGGTGGCCAAACCAAAAAGAACTATCGGTTAAGAAGAAAGGGAAGGAAACGGAGGCTGACATGTGAAGAATTGGCATGATTAAGAAGTCTGTACTAGAAATCTATCGAACTTTTAAGCAGGAAATTGCCAAGGAAAGGATCTATGATAATGCTCGGGGTAGTTCTCTACTGTTTGAGGCTAGGACAGGAGTATTGCGAACCAAAACATATCGGGCCAAATACGAAGGGGTAGACACGGTATGCAGTGCATGCGGATAGGAAGAGGACACTGCCGAACACTCCGAACACTTGATAATGTTCACTGAACATTCCGAATACTCTGAACACCTGACACCCTAGATCTCTTATTAACATCTAACCTTGAAAACATAAAAAATGTGACTTTGCTTCCTGCCCTCAGGGACCATAGCCTCCTTCATATCAGCATTTCTCTGCCTATAAAAAAGAACGCCCCAACGCAAAAATTAATCACTGATTACAAGAAAGCTAACTGATTACAAGAAGCTGCCTGCGCATGCGCCTTTTTGTATCTGCCTTTTGCTTATCACTGTTCTGTACCGCTTGGCTGTGATAATGCAGCTGCCCCGCGATATATATACCGGCACGCTGCCACAAATAAAGGTTTTTCTTCATTGTTGCTTCAAGGCTGCGTGTTTACTGCTGGACACCGGAACATGGTGTCAGAAGTGGGATCGCGTTCGCCAAAGCAGTGACGACAGGCAGAGGGGCGTCACCGTGCACCTTCATGATGGAACTACTGAAGCCACCGCAGCCATTGGTGCTCTCGGGAAGTACAGCAAAGAACTGGAGCCTTTTTTCCTGCAGGCCACGGAGCCGTCGAAAGAACCGAGGTCGGAGGCAGCCAAGACAGCAATCCTGCTTAGCGTTGCCGGAGAGGACGCCCTAGAGGTATTCAACAACTTTGCCTTCTTTGAGAACGAAAGCAAGGAAGATTACGCAACTGTTACGAGCAAGTTTGAGGCGTACTGTCAACAGCAGCAGAACGAAGTATACGAGCGTTATGTTTTCCGCTCAAGAACGCAAGCAGAGGGGGAGCCCTTTAAGCATTTCGCCTGGGACTTAAGGCGGCTTGCACGAAGCTGCAATTTCGGCACCTTGAGTGACTCTATGGTCAGGGACCAGATTGTTTTTGGAACAGTTAATCCGAAACTGCGCGAGAAAATGCTCAAAGTTAAAGATCTCACGCTACAAAATCGGAAGACATTTGTAAGGCCGACGAAGTATGCGCTGAGCAAAATAATGCCTGGGCTGGTACAGAGAAGGAAGTAGCGCCGATCAAGATGCACCGGCAGGCCAAATGTCCAGCGTGTGAACAATATTCCGAATGTGCCGAGGAATGTAGGGTGGAACCCGAGAAAGGAATTGCACATGTTAAGGCACGCAGACAATTCAGGTGTTCCCGGTGCCATCGTTCCCACGAGCGTGGAAAATGCCCAGCCTTTGGCAAAACTTGTTTTCTGTGCCGAGGCGCTAACCACTTTGCTTCCTGCTGCAAGAAATGGCCTCAAGTCAGTGAAGTACGCGACGAGCAAGATGACTTTGACATCCTCGATGTCAACGTTGGCAGCAAAGCTGATTGGCTGATCAATGCAACAGTGGCTTCCAAACAAGTGTCCCTTAAGGTTGACACAGGCTCACAAGCCAACTTGTTGCCTCAGTCTGTGTTCCAAAGCCTAAAATCGAAGTCCGGGTTACGGGAAAGCTCCTCTGTTCTGCGCTCATACAGTGGCGACGTTATCAAGCATATCGGTGTTACTACGCTACAAGTTGTCGCGAACAGCCACACCGGTTACTTCGACTTCTTCATTGTTAAGAAGAGCACCCAGGCCATCCTGGGGCTGTCGGCGAGTGAAGCTTTAGGACTGGTCTCTCGTACTGTCGACGCTGTGAATACAAGCAGCACCATCGAAGCGATGACAGAATTTCCCGAGTTGTTTCAGGGCATCGGCTGTCTAAAACGCCAGTACCACATGGTTCTGCGGGGGAATGCAACCCTGGTGGTCCAACCGGTACGACGGGTGCCCCAGGCGCTGCTCCAGCCCTTGCGAGAGGAACTGGACCGCATGGAGCATGAAGGCATCGTGGTCAAAGTCAGCGAACCGACGGATTGGGTGAGCCCCTTTGTCGCCGCGAGAAAAAAGAATGGTAAACTGCGTGTCTGCATTGACCCCAGGCGCATCAATGAGTGCTTAAAAAGAGAGCACTATCAAATGCCAAAAAGAGAGGACATTGAGGCTGAGCTGGCCGGCGCCAAGTTTTTCTCTCGCCTCGACGAGCAATCTGGATTTCATCAAATTCCTCTAGATAAGGCTACTTCGAAGGTGTGCACGATTGGCACGCCGTTTGGGCGCTACCGTTTCCTAAGGCTGCCTTTTGCTATAGCTTCGGCACCTGAGGTTTTTCAAAAAACCATGAATGAAATATTCGACCAGGTCCCAGGAGTGCGAATATATATCGACAATATATTGATATGGGGTAGCACGAGGGAAGAGCATGACGCCCACCTCCGCACAGCCTTGCAGTTGGCCAAGAGCGCCGGCCTAACGCTCAATGCTGCTAAGTGCGAATTCGGGGTCACCGAAATCGACTTCTTGGGCGACGTGATAAGCCAAGACGGGATCAGACCTGGTAAGCAAGAAAATGTTTGCTCGTCTAGCTGAAGCAACAGCTGCTGACCCAGATTTACGAACTGTGCTGCGCTGCATGAGAAACGGCGAAGAACTACAAGGCTGCTTGAAACCATTCAGCTCAAATTTGACCGAAGTTCAAGGGATTGTCCTGAAAGGAACAAAGATCATCATTCCTAAGGCTATGAGAGCTGAAATACTGGGTTCATGAAGGTCATTTAGGCATAAATAAGTGCAAAGCAAGGGCCCGTCGACTAGTATTCTGGCCCGGCCTGAATGGAGACATCGGAAATCGAGTGAAAAACTGCGCTGTTTGTCAAAATTACGCGTACAGGCAACAAAGTGAACCGGTAGTGCTCAGGCCAACCCCAGAGCATGCCTGGTACAGAATTGGCGTTGACATCTTTATGTACGCCGGGAGCTCCTTCCTGTGCGTGTTTGATGCGTTGTCGAACTTTCCTGAAGTCGAAAAGCTGCCGGACACAACGACGGGCACGGTCATAAATAAACTTAGCTCAATCTTTTCTAGATATGGAATTCCCTTAGAAGACTGCACTGATAACGACCCCCAGTTCGCATCCCATGAATTCTCTTTGTTTGCCTCCAGATATGACTTCACGCACGTGACTTCCAGTCCAAGATTCCCGCGGTCAAACGGGCTCGCAGAAAAAGGAGTTCAAATTGTTAAAAGGATCATGAAGAAGACTGGTGAAAGGAAGGAGGACTTCTGGCTTGGTCTACTCAGCTATCGCTCGACGCCACTGGACGAAGGCCGATCTCCAGGAGAATTGCTGCAGGGCAGGAAATTGCGCAATCAGCTGCCCGAATTCAGACCGTGCTCTGGACGCCAGGACTTGAGGCGTCAGTCGCGCCAACCGAAGTCGTCGAGAGGGAAACCCCTGCCAGAACTCAACAAAGATGCAGTCGTAAGAGTTCGTGGGGATACATGGGATCACAAGGCTCGTGTTTTGGATAAGGTGGCGCCAAGGTCTTATCGCGTCTTCACAGAAGACAGTCGGGTGCTTCGACGGAATCGGCAATACCTTCTCGCCACACGTGTATCTTTCCAGAGGGACGAAGCGGAGGACTCATCCACCGACGAAGACATGTTCCAGGAAAATTCATGGTCGCCGTCAGTGGTACAACCTGCGTCAACAGGAAGTTCGCCGTAGTCGACGACGTCAACCCCAACGCTAGAACACTAACCAAGGAAATCCGCCCGGCAAAGGCGAAAACCCAGCCGCCTTGGTTACGACGAGAACTTCAACCAAGTCACGTGTATCTTGATGTCAAAGCTCTAGCTGTCATACGGAGAGAGATGTATCGTGTTAGCTGCCTGCGCATGCGCCTTTTTGTATCTGCCTTTTGCTTATCACTGTTCTGTACCGCTTGGCTGTGATAATGCAGCTGCCCCACAATATATATACCGGCACGCTGCCACAAATAAAGGTTTTTTTTTTCATTGTTGCTTCAAGGCTGCGTGTTTACTGCTGGACACCGGAACAGGCTTATCCCCCCTTTTATTTTTAATCTACGTCAATGACGTACCATCTAACACAAAAACCAAACTTTGAATTTTCGCCGATGACTGCGTCATCTACAATGCCATTCACAAGCCTAGCGACTCCACTAATCTTCAGGAAGACATGGACACTATCGCTGCATGGTGTGTAAAATGGCTCATGCCTCTTAACCTTAATAAGTGCCAATCTATGTCTTTTTCCCGTAAACGCAGCACCACTATTCATGGATATCATATCAATTCAAATGAAATAACTCCAACAGACTGCTATAAGTATCTAGGCGTTCAGTTGACATCGTTATTATCATGGGTCGCTCACATTAAAACATATGGCGCACATGCTTCGCGCACACTTGGATTTTTGCGCCGAAATCTCAGATCTGCATCACCCGCAATTGAAAAACTTGCATATCAGACATACGTTCGGCCTGAATTGGAATACGCTTCATCTATCTGGCACCCCTCACAAGCATATCTCACCTACGAATTAGAATCCATCCAGAATCGCGCTGCTCGCTTCATAACGTCAAACTACTCACGTAAATTTAGCACCACTGAACTCAAACGCACACTTGACCTTCCATGTCTCCAATCACGTCGAATCATCTCGCGTCTCTGCTTGCTTCACTCTTTCTATTATCACCCACTTGCCAGGCACCCTTCACTTCTACCCCCGCCCCAAATCTCGCCGCGCCTCAACCACAGCAAACCAATCGCACACATTCAGTGCCGCACATCATCAATGAAAGATTCTTTTTTCCCCCATGCAATAAAACAACCCTGCGGAACACCCTCCCCGACAGTAATGTTTCGTCCACCGACCACCTGCCTTTTCGCGAAAAAATAACAATGCATCTGACCTCAATTGAAATAAATTCCTAGTTGAACCATGTTAGTAGCCAACTTTTAATGACTCATGCATTATGATGCTGATCACTATGTATATTGCTGTTTTATTTCCAGCCCACGATAGTTGATTTTTTCTGCTTGCTTGATTCCTTTCTTAAAGATGTTTTTTGTACATTTCTTCGTCTTCCTTTTTCGGCGTTTCTGTTATTAAGGGTTCGTCATATATTGCTTGCCCCCACCTAATTTAATGCCTCCGGGCCCTTAAGGCTTCAATAAATGAAATGAAATGAAATGAAATGTTCTGTAAAAGGCTTCTTTCAGTAGTTCAGGATGATGGCGCACAGTTTTTCAAAGCACTGGGGTTTAGGGACAGACAGGGCAAAATAGACTTCAAACGGGTAGAACTAGAGAAGGTTATCTGATTGGTGGCTTAAGTCAAGGCACAAGTGAAAATTAAACCCTTCAATGCAAAGGAGCAGACCTCAACTTCACTATTTAAAGGGAAAAAAAAGATAAAACTTGTTGTTAGTTCACTAAGAATTACGGCTAGGTGGCGTTAGCTGCCACTCGACCTAAAAAGTACAGCCACATCCATCCATCCATCCATCCACGTCAAGCTCGCGTGCATTTGCCCGGTCAGGAGCGATCAGTTGAGCTTCGACGTGCCCGTAAAGTGCCTAATACGTGTGAAACTCTTTGTCGACACGGTTAGCTGCCTTCGTAGCACTTTGTAAGCACCCTGCAGGAGTTCGCACTTGCACGTGGTGCAATTCGCTGGCCAGGCTTGTAAAACGTGCCGGCGGCTAAGCTACTGTTTTGTTCCCGGCTGCGAGACTGGTTAGAAATCCTGCAATCGAAAACTTTCATTGTTCGGTGTACCTAAAAAAGATGAGCTAGTTCCGAAGTGGCGATGGAACATACCCAGAACTCACAAGCCGCTGGAAAGAAATGCAGCAGGATGTGAGTTGCATTTTGATCAGCAGTCTTTGTCGTGGAATTTCGAGCATGTAATACAAGGCGAATCGTAGCGCATTGGTCAAACCAGGCCGGTTCTGCCAAACGTTGTACCGACTATATTTCAAAACTTACCCAAATACCTTTCTAAGCCACTTCCGAAGAAAATAAGTGCACGGGAGAAGCCAGCATCACATCCCTCGTCGCCCAAAAGAAGACATCGCATGGACGGAACGTGTTGCCCAAATTCTGAAGTTGTTGAAGCTGAAGAAGTCTCTGCTACTGTTGATGCTTCAGCTGCACATGTTCTGGAAGTCCTGAATGTGCCACTTCTAACCAACCAGTGGGTGAAGCACGTGTTCAGCGAGAATACCCTTCACGTGGCCTACACCGTGTGTTTACCTAGAAAAGACATGAGCCTGCTTCATGCGCTGAAAATGGTGGTGTTTAGATGCATCGAAAGTGTGATAAAACATGAAGTGTTTGTGAGGAGTGTCGAGGTCGTGCTTGATGTGCCAAGAGATCCAGCATCTATTTTGCAAGAGGTCGACAGCCTGCACGCTTGCACTGGAGCAGGACTGTGTGCGGAGTTTCTGATAGCGTGCTCCAGCGCAAATTCGAAGCAATGGAATGATGCTCTGTACCACATTAGGTGTAAAGGTGTATGAAGCCAGAGTGAGAAATGGTGCGTGTCGTGCAAGTATCTGAGGAGACTCATAATTAACCAAAGGTGCCGGGCGAAGGAAACGAAGAAGACTAGAAGAAATACCTCATCAAAGCTGAGAGTGAACACTCGGGCAGTGCGACGCCTTAGAACCAAGGTGAAGTCGCTAGTGCGAGGGATCTCCCAAATGAAGGAAGAAAATGAGGTGATTGAAGAATCCACCCTCTTGAAGAAAATTGGTCAGCTTCCACCTATGCAGAAGGCTACCTTTGTTCGGTGTTTTGAGGCTGCGACATGACAATCCCCAAAGAGGATGCAGTATAACTCTGAATTGCTTCTTGAATATATCATTATGCGTATAAGGCGCCCACGGCTCTGAGCGTATTCGTAGAGAAAAATCTTGGTGCTACCAAGACGCAGCTGCCTCAAAAAATACATGAAGCAGTACGAGAGCACGTTTGGTTTTAACCACAATGTGCATTCGGGAATTGCAAAAAAACAGAAAAAAATGACTGAATTTGAGTGTTACGGTGAGCTCATTGTCGATGAGATGAAGTAGGCTGAGAATTCCGCTGTGAAAAATGGCTCGGGTAAAATTGACGGCTTCATCGACCTGGGTCCTTTCACTCCTGAGCCCGAAAAAACAGTTGTATGCGCCCACGGTTTGTTTATCCTTTTCCTGCCACTTTCAGTGTCGTGGCACTAGATTTTTGGATTATTTGCATCTCGGGGGAATGTGAAGGGAACCACTGCTTTAATAATAAAATTGCAAAGAAACAGTAAGGAACTCAAGAACTTGTTCTTGGGCGAGTGGGTGCTTTAGTTTGCTAAACATGTGCGTTCTTGTCTATTTTTGTGTGTGTTTTTAGCTTTCCACCTGAATAACAAGTTTGGCAAGTAGTACGAAGGTAATTTTTGCAGTGCCACTATACATCTTAGTCGCAGAGCATGCTATAAAGAAAAGGACACGGGAGTGTGGAGGTTTGTGTTACACTGGGTGCACAAAAAAGAGGGGAAAAACAGAATTGTTTAGGCAATCAGCGA